AATGAGAATGGCTTCTCCCCAATAAAATTTTGGTATGTTGTTGGTCAGTATTATTGCTCGACTAACGTCTAGGAGGTGACAATTCTTTCTTTCAACTGTTTCATTTTGCTCTGGTGTATTTATACAGCTTATTTGATGTACAATACCATGCTGTTTTAGGTAAGTTTGGAGATGAGTATTCATGTATTCCCTCCGATTGTCACTCCTAAGAACTTTTATGGAAGTATCAAACTGGGTTTTGATCATTTTGTGGAAGTTTATGATAATTTGAGGGAGGTCAGATTTTTCTTTCATGAGAAATACTCATGTAACCCGTGTGTGATTATTAATTAGTGTTACAAACCATTTGGCATTTGTTAATATGGGAATGTGAGCAGGGTCCCATATGTTACTATGCACGAGAGAAAAAGGGTAAGTATATTGATGAGAATGTGTTTTGTAATTGTTCTTAGTGTGTTTAGAGAGTTGTCACACCTCACAAGGAATAGACCAAATATTTTTATTGATCGAATTTGGGAACAATCTGAACATGGGGTGACTTAACCTACAGTGCCATAACAAGCTTTATTATTTGAAAATTGAGTCACTAATTCCTTTTCTGCTGCATAGGTTCTAGAATATGCTTTATTTTGCTTGCTTGAGTAGTGGTCTACACAATAAAGTCCCTCTAGTAACATCTATGATAACCATAACATCTTCTATTGTCTTCTATTTATGTATCGCATGGTCACATGAATAGAATATACAGCTAAGACACTAATTTCCTCAGCCAACTGTCATGGTATAAGAGCCATGGCTGTCGAAAACATCCAATTCGACAAATACCAAGTGTTAAACATTGTAACAAAGGATGCCCTTCAAAGTGCAAGCAACACTAGTGCGGACCACTAATTTAAACATTCACTTAGTGCATTGGGGTTAAATACAAAATTAATCCAAGGATTGCACTATAAGGTGTAACCCTAGGTCATTTCTCTTGTCAAAGCTTTAGTTATTGATCCTAAGTTTACTAAATGCCAAAAAATGCAAATTGACTAGGGAAAAGTTGGGGGGTTTTCATTAAAGCTATTAATTGAGGTAAAATGCAATGTAAATATACTTCTTGAATTTTTGGGAAATTAAAATGGAACGAATGGAAAACAAGTTGAAAACAATTGATGAAACCTCTTGAAAATGGATCTTAGCAATCATAGTTCAAAATGATTTTGGGAGTAGAAATTACTAAGTTTTGTAAATGAAAAACCTTAAAATGTCCTTTAAGTTTGGGATCTTAATCAATGGCCACCCATCTCATAAAATCCTATTAAGCTCATTTAGTGTGTGTATTAGGATTAATTAATACACTTGGTTTAATACAAATCCAAATTAACTCAAAAATCAAACAATGTCATGCAAGAAAGGGAGTATCAAAAGAGTTGCAAAAAAACATATATGTAATCACATATGTTGAAGCTCACATTCAACAAATCTAAAATACACGATAATCATCCAAAATTGATTACAACCATAATCAAAATAGCTTAGCCAGAATTTACAAACCCTGGATCTAGGAATTCATAAACAACTAGAACTATAGATGAAGCCAACTTGCCTTTAAAGCTCTTGGAACTCACGCCAGTCAACTCATCTTCAAGAGAACAGATGCCTAGCCACGCATTGGAGCAAGAAACACCATAACCAGCAGTAATTTTGAGTTACCATGGTGGAAAATGAAGGAGAAATGGAAGGAGATGAAGATTTGGTGAAGGAGAGTGGGAGAGGACGAAGGGAGGAGGTTGTGGATGAGTGAATGGTGTGTTCTGGCAAAAATAGGGTTTCTAAGGGTTTATGGGACTGAAATGAGTCAGATCTAGTGAGTGGGTACTCTATTTTCACGCTTATGATCCGAATCTGGTTTGCTGATTCGAGGCCTTCACCGTGACGAAGGGGAATGTTTGTCGCCGCGACAGTGTCCTAAGACAAAAAGGGGTCTGGAACTGCCGATTATGTCGCAGCGATAGGGGAAGTTGGCCGCGGTGACAATATCCTGAGAGGAACTCCAATAAAATTTTTGCAAGGTTGCCATGACGGAGAATAATTGTGGCCGCGACGAAGGATTCTCGATAGACACTGAACACATTTTCACACTTGCGCACTGGCACATAGTTTCTTAGCTACGGTGATGATTCCAGAACCAATATTCTGGGTCTTGTGTTGTATAATCTCTTGGTCTTCAATCTTGGTTCTAATTCTCAAGTGTCCTACCATGAAAAGCAACAATTTGAAGCATTAATTGTCCTAAAAATCAATTGAATACAATTAATAAGCAATTATGACAATTTTACCCTCACAAAGACACTAACTCAAATAAGAGACTCTAAATCTAAATTAAGCACAATTATCACTAAAAGAACCACTAACCTATGATAAAAGCCCTAAAATAATATGAAACGACAGGGAAGAATTGGGCTCAATCAACCACTTATTGGAAGCTCTACCCAGTCACACAAGTTGGCAAATCTGATTACATTGCATGAGCTTGATGGAGAGAACTATCTCAGTGGTCTCTCATGTTCCTCATCTTCATTCAAGGCCATGGAAGAGAAGACTACATCAAAGGCCTTCACCTCTTCTGGTCGCAATAGATCCCAAACACGCTACTTGGAGAGTCAAGAGCAGCCAAGTCATGTCCTGGCTGGTAAATTCAATGACATTGGGAAGAATTTTTTTTCTATAAGACTACATGAGAATTTTGGGACGCTACTCGAGAGTTTTCTTTGCTTCAAACACTACAATATTGTTTGAGATTGAAGGGATGCTTCATTAACTGAAACAGGGGACTATGATAGTCACTTTATATTACAATACAATGACAAAATTTTGATAGTAGATTGATCTATACACAAATCATATATGGATGTGTACAGCCAAGACATGCTACAACTAGAAATTGGTAAAGGCAGAATTTATGAGTTTCTCTTTGGTTTAAATTCAAAATATGAAAAAGTGAGAATTCAACAACATTAAGTTACTTCTCTCTTTGGCTGCCAATCTTGATTGATCATTATATCAATTAGATGGTAAGAATGCCTTTTTAAACAGTAATTTGGAAGAAGAGGTATCCATGGAGATTTCCCCAGGGTTCAAGAATAATGAAAATGAGGATAAAGTCTGCAGGCTCAAGAAACTGTTGTATGGCCTAAAGCATAAGTATGATGCAGTTGAAATCGAATGAATTTTTATACCAAGTGCTTGGTTTGAATGCTCGACTTAGGTTGCTAAGAAGAATAGTTATTTGCAGTGTCAATCCTATTACACTTCGTTCATTAAACATAGGGGTGTTAAGATGGCTATCCTAATTGTCTGTCAATGATATTATACTCACTAGTGATGATGCAGTTGAAATAGATAGACTCAAGAGGATGTTAGGGTATGAGTTTGTTATAAAGGATCCAGTAAGTCTGAGATATTTCCTAGGAATGGAGGTTGCTAGATCAAAGACAAGGGTTATCGTTACACAAAACACAAAGAAAATATGCGCTCGGTTTGATACATGAGATGGGGATCCTTGGTTGTAGGTTGTATGCTACTCCTGCGGAATTGAATTGCAAGCTTGGACTAAATGAAGATAGCCCATAAGTCGATAGAGAAGACATCAACGATTGGTTGGCAAACTAATTTATCTCTCCCACACACAACCAAACGTTATTCATGCTGTAAGTGTAGCGAGTCAGTTCTCTTATCGACCTAACAAGGACCATGTGACTGCTATCTTCAGAATTTTACTATATCATAAGTCTGCATTAGGAAAAGGAATTTACTTCAAGAAGGGAGCTCACAAAGGAATTGAAGATTACAAAGATGTCGATTGGGCCGAATCAGATACAAATGAAAGATCTACAAGTTATTGCACATTTGTATATGGGGGAATCTTGTAATTTGTAGTGTAAGAAACAACTTGTAGTTGTTAGCTCTAGGTCTTTGTGGAGGCCTTTGACTAGAAAGATTGTTCAAGGAACTGAAGATGGACTATGAGGGTCCAATTAAAGTCCAATTTGACAATATGGTAACAACCAGGATTGTTAAAGAATCTTGTTAATTGTAATTGGAGGAAGCATGCTGAAATAGATTGCCATTTCATCAATGATAAGATAGAAGGGAAGATTGTAGGAGTGTTACATACCCACTAGGCGTCAAGTGGCGGATGTACTCCCCAAACCTGTTGCAAAGCCTAAGTTTGAAGAATTGACAAGCAAGCTGTGAATGATGAATATCTGTTCACTGGCTTTTCTTTTTCTTTTTTTTTTTGTGGGGGTTGTGGAAGGCTTCAAGATGTGCTAGGCCAGGTCCACTAAACTAGAATTAGTTGGTCGTAATTAATTGTCATTTATTTTCTGATTATATTTTCCTGTTTCCATAATCTTGGGAGCTTCAAATCTGTTCCTCAATAATTCCTAAATCAGATTCAATCACAACATCCGATTGGGTATCTGTATGATAAACCTAACATGATAAACCTAACATCTCGTATTCTCTTCTATAAATGTAAAACACAATTACATGAATAAAATACAGAGCTAAGACGCTAATTTCCTCAGGCAAATCCATGAAACTGAATGACGTTACTGGTTCCCAATGAATTTTAAGTTGACTAAATAATAGAATAAATGGAAGTATGTTTGAGTATCATGTATAACAATAGCCAGCAACCCAAATGACCTAACTATTTTCTTTCTCAAATGACTCTTTCCTTGTGAAGATCTGATGGATCTGCTGTTAATATAATCTGATTTCTGAAAATTCTTGCATTCTTTGGCATTACATTTGAGGTGAGTATAGCTTGTGCTTGCAGACGTTGAACTCTTGAAAGTTCAGACTTTTTCATGCAAGGGAAATAAATCCTTGTTTTATTGGTTTGAGGATCCATTTTATGCATGGACACTACCTTCTTCCTAGTTGTTTTAATTTAGCCTTTCTCCATGTCTAAGACATTTTTAGCTTGTATTCTCGTTTTCCTTTAGCCAGGAGAAAGTTTAGAGGAGGCTGTGCGAAGAGAAACATGGGAGGAGACTGGTATTGAAGTGGGAGAAGTGGCGTATCACAGTTCTCAGCCCTGGCCTGGTATGATTTATCCTACATGCTTTGGTGTTGCTCTAAGTCCATGCTTCTGTAAGTTCATTCTTGTGTTAATTATATGAGATATTGTGTTTAATAGTTTGTAACTATTGAAGAAAGAAACATGTGATGAGCCCAATAGACCGCTGGGCACCATGGAGGGCATTGTCCATACTGAACTAGAGTTGATTCTGAGTCATGGCTAGTAATGACTCTTATTCATACTCGTGCACCATGCAGAGTTATATAGAACAAAGTGAGGGAGCCTGCAATATCAGGAAAGAAATAAAAACAGAAAATAAATATTGAAATCGATTTAGTCTAACCACATATAATATGGGATATGTGGTCAGAAAACTAATTAGGTTTAAGCTAGGTTAACATAAAGTAATTAGGCTCAGGGTAAGGCCTAAAGACGTCATCCAACAGTTATTGACTACTGTGACCAGCTAGGTTAGTTACTGTTTTCCATTTTCCTCTTTGCCCTTTTTTTTTTGTGGGGGGGGGGGGGATGGTTCAAAGGAGAGAGTATATCATCCCATGTCTTGAACACAAAGCCTCTTAAAACATTCATGAAGAATGTTCCAGAAAGCGACAGAGGAGATTGGTTCCCATTTTCCTCTCTCTCTCTCTACCTAAAGAGGTTGTAACTGACCATTAAACTGAAGCATTAGTAATACAAGAGCTCAGTTCCATCAACATGTCATTGCAATTGGATGTTGTTTAGTCATTAGACTTTTGAGCTTAATTTATGTTTGTACTATGTCGTTGCATATCTTGTATTTTTTTTTCACTAGAATTTTGATTCTTTCAAACATCCTTGCTTGATTTTGCCTAGTCATCTGGCTAATGAAGGATGTCAATGTGTTCCTCAAATTTTCATTTATTTTTCATTTTGGATTAGCATGTCAATGTGTTCCTCAAATTTTAATTTATTTTTCATTTTGGGTTATATCATGGCATTGTTGTCCTTCATTCAGTTGTAACATGCAAGTTCTATCAGTTGTTGTTGGGTGGGGGTTTGACCTTGGCCGTAGCTGCTCACGTCTTGAATATGTATTGACTTACAATAACTATTTGGTTTTCCATTTTTAGCCAGCCTTCAAAATAACTAATGTGAGTATGCGCGCGCGCAAGGGTGGGTGGATTTTTTTTTTTTTTTTAACGGGGGGTGGGGGTTGTGTGTTTTATGACTTTTTCTCTTGATTAATTTATAGATTTTAGTTTTTACAACTTCTGTCCATTAAAAGTATCGTTTCCATTCGCTTGGTTTCCAGTTGGACCGAGCAGCATGCCATACCAACTCATGATTGGGTTCTTTGCGTGTGCGAAATCCCTTGAAATAAATGTGGACAAGAAGGAGTTAGAAGGTAAATTGAACTTGAGCACTTAATTTCATTCACCTATTCCCCTTGACCCCCCCTTGTACTATAAGTAGTTTTACTCTGCACGCCATCTTACCCATCAACGAGTGCAGTGTGATGGGTTAGTGGCGCATTTCTATTATATTGTTTGCTAAATTTGAAATATTAGACAAATGAACTTTTTTTGATTTAATTTTTTTTTTAAATTTCTGCAACAAATCGCCATTGAGTATTCTAAAGTTACAGGTTCTCATTGCTAAGATTTCTCTGTTCTTGACACTGTCAGCAAGAGTGGGCAAAAATAGACAATAGTAGGTGAAACCTTCAACATATTAAGGTTCTTTGTCCTCAATTTTGCCTCATCACTTCCCTTGATTGCATTTCTGCCTTGGAAATCTTAGTCCCCTTTTTATATTACATTTGTTTATGTGAAATTACGAAGTGATTTAGATCTCAAAAGCATTTGATTCTTCCCTCTCACCCCTTCCTTGTATAGATGCTAAGTGGCACAGCAGAGAAAACGTGAGAAAAGCTTTGACATTTGCTGAGTACAAGAAGGCCCAAAGAACGGCAGCAGCTAAGGTAGAACAAATGTGCATCGGAGTGGAAAAGAACCAGAACTTGGCTGCAGATTTCAACGTGGAAAGTGGGGAACTTGCTCCTATGTTTGTTCCTGGACCCTTTGCAATAGCGCATCATCTTATTTCGTCTTGGGCCTTCCAGGATCGAGATCCAGAGAATAGTGCTGAATGCCATTCTAAACAACCCAGCAGCTCTCTGTCAAATTTGTAATAATCAAGAGAGATTTGGATCCAAAGCCCAGCCTTATTACTGTGGGGTATCAATTGAAGGGAGTGGGCTGATTATGCGGGTGAGACATAATTTTTCAAGGACCGGCGGTAGTACATAATTTTTTAAAAATATTTTTAAAATATTATGGCTATTTATTAAAATCTTCACTTCCAAGAAAATAAAAATGATAATTATTATTTGCATTAGATATATTAGTTTATCCAATCAAGTTGTTTCTAAGAGATCGCAAATAAATAGTTATAAAAGTTGAGCATTTGTACGAATATAATAAATTGTTTCCAATAAAAGTTGTAAATGGGTTAATGAAATAGTGAGGCTACGTAGTAGTGTTGTCTATGCTGTTGGTAGTGTGGTAAATAATTTTTAATAGGCCTTTTACTGTGATTTTTTTTTAATGAAGTGTTGAAATTGTAAATTGTAAATGAAGTTAATGAAGTAGTGAAACTTTGTACAAATGTACACATTTTTTTTTTAATAAATGATTTTTAATAGGAAGTTTTTTTTTTTTAATAATTATCTTATAGTTGTCCGTTTATATTTAGGATTGGAGGTAGTGTATGATTTTGCATGGTCGTAACTAAGATGCTTTGTGGCTCAATGTTCACTTAGTCTTTTCCTACCTTGATCATCTTGTCCTCAAAAGACAGTCATCAGTGTTGGAGCTCCAGCGGCCTGCTGCAGCAAGTTTGCTGAAGAAGGTGAATTGGGTTTTTTGCCCTTTAGTTTTAGGCTAAAGTATTGGTTTTGTCTTTTAAATTTAAATTAAGTTTCAGTTCAGTCTTTTAAGTTTAAGTGTTATTTTGGTCCCTTAGTATTAACACCGTTAGTCTCATATAATGAATAATGCTAAGTCAATTAGTTAAGTTTGAGTGATAACTGTACAAATAAGAGCCTATTTGAATTTGAATTCGTGGTGAAAAAAGTGATTTATTTTTAATTGTGTTTTTGGAATCCATAGAGATCTTAAGATTAAGTAAAAGTTAGATTAGGTAATCTAATTTGTACTTAGATTCTAATTGAAAACGCAAGAGCATGATTTTTGTTATATGTGTGTATTACATATACATAATATCATATCTTTAAGGAAAAAAATAAAAAATAAAAATAAAACTAAGACTGAAAAGGACATGAATTTGATTAAAAATATGTGTATATTATGTGTAAATAATATGAGAACTTTAAGAAAATATGAACAAATAATATTAGAAATGGAATATTTATAAAATTATGTAAAACGAGTGAAGAGCAACAAACAATGAGGGAAAAGGAAGAGATAAATTGTTACCAACCCGTCATAAGCACGATAAAATAAGCAATAAGCCAGAACAAAATTCTTAGGAAAAGTCCCATATAAATACCATTTACATTTTAAAATTCTAAATTAGTCATTCTAATATGATAAAGGGTAAATAAGTTTATAAGTATTAATTTGAGATTTATAAATTTTGGCAATTTACCTATGTGCCCTTTCTCTCATTTCGTGTTTTTTAAAATCAAAGAGATTTCTTCTCTCTCTCTCCCCCTCTCTTTAGGTCCTCTTCTCTCTCCTTCACATTGTTCCTAGCATCTTTCTCTTCAAAAATAATTGCAGACCCTCTACTCACTTTCAAATCATTCATCTCCGAATGTCCAACTCTAGTTCACTTGTTGTTTGTTTTCCTATTTTGATTATCTCCATGTTCCTCATGTTATCATTCTTCAATCAGACAATAGGCTGATTCTCTATTCCTCTAGCTTTTTTCATGTTGCTCAAAGAACACATGTCTGTACTCTAGGCTTCTCATTCCTCATTTGAACATATGTAATATAGTTACTGTCATAGTTCCACAAAGTTATTGATTTTTGGTAAATACCATCACATTATATATTTAGTAAAATTGTTTGGAAATAGATAATAACTGATTATAAAATGTGTTAAGAAAATAGTCTATTTCATTTCACAAGTTATCAGACACGTTATATATCTAGCAACTTTATTCAACTCAATCTCCTTGAGTTTCGTTAAGTTTGTAAATGGCTAATAATAGGTTGCAAAACGTATTATAAAAATATTTAAATTCAATTCGAAAGTTGCTAATCACTTTAAAATATTGTTAAAGGTGTGTTTGATTATAATAATACCTAAAAGCAAAACTTTTTTACACTTTTCATCTCTCAGTGGTATTTTAGTCTTTCCACCAAACTTCGCAAATTGTAAATTCATAACTCAAACTCATTTGGTCCTTTCGTTTATTTGCATGACTTATTTATCTTTTTAAATTTTAATAGGTTTTTTTGGGTTATTTTTCCAAATTCTTATCCAACCAAGCGGAAAATTTGCAATTGTGATCATGGGCTCATAAAGCTGCATTTTTGCTATTGTGGATCCAAACCAACCCTAAATACTAACAAGACTTCATATTTTAATTTAATATTTTTATATTTTAAAACAAAATAAAACAAGCGAAAAACCTAAAAAAACCATCTCCTCTTCTTCGACGGTGCCTCTACTTCAAACTTGCTTCACCTACTCCTTCCGTTCCTTCTTTACCTATAGCAGCTGGAAACCTTCTATTTGCACGACCAGCAAAATCTAAAAGCAGGAGAGGCTGTGACTATGCCCTTTAATCAGAGCGGGAGAGTTCGGATAGTTTTGATTATGAAGGTATTGGAGGAAAGGGAGGAGAAATTTTTTTAATAAGCTCGATTTAAAAAATTTAAAAAGTGAGATTCTGAAAATTTGATAAAAAGAATATGCAAGATAAAAAGGAAAAAAATTTGATTAAAAATTTTAACCCTATTTTTTTAATTTTTTAAATCAAGTTTATTAAAAAAATAATTTCCTCCCTTCTTCTCATACCAAACGCACCATAGTGACAAAGGAAATAGTTAGTGTTGATTGCATTTAAAGCAAAGAGCAGAGATTGAATTGTTTTTATTTTAATTTACATTATTCACAATTTTAGGAGTAATCATAAACTTAGGTCAACTATGTCCATAAAACCAATCAGAATGTGCCACCTGTACTAAGTTTCAATCCGGCACTTAACCACAACACACATTGTTACACCTCCGTTAGTCCTATTTCTTTAAATAAAAAAAAATATTAAAAACAGAATGAGAACGGGAAGGGGAAAAGAAGCGGCTGCGTATATGAAGGACGGACGGCCGCAATGCGATAGTCGAAGATGCACAACAAAGTTACAAAGAATCGAAGCAAGCCAAAATATTTACAAAGTCAAGAATATAAACTAGACGCATGCTTTTATACAAGTCCTTTGCTCTAACAGTGATCTCATGAAGAATTAATCTCCCTAGATTGAAGATTTTCCTGTAGCCACTCTTCAAAAGGTAGGTTGAGGAATTTTCGTTGAAGGAGAACACGTGGAGAGAGACAGTGGACTTTTATGGTTGAATATATTCTGAGCAATGAAAAATTGCTTAAGCAATCAGAAAGCAATACAAGAGAATAGGATTTTTAACCTTTTTGGCGATATTGCACCTGGAGTGGAAACCGAAGAGGTTTAGTTTCGGAGGAACATGCAGCTACGGTGTCTGATCTCACCCTAGGTTCTGGTTCTGTATTTAATTATTTTTTTTTCCCAAAAATTGGACTAATGGTGTGTTGGGGGTTAAGTGCTAACATGGAAAATTAGTACAGGATTGTCTTCACGGAACTACTTGACCTAAGTTTCCTTGTAAAATACTATATTAAAAAAATTAAGCCCAGTCAATGTTTAATTGCAATTGTCCAAGTGTTAATGAATAAGTAAATTTGGCGATCTACTATCAAAATTTAGCGATTTATAACGAACATAAAGGAATTTACAACTTCCAAATACAAGTGTTTATATGTGAATGAATAATTCAAATTCGATAGTTTACAACAAAAATTCAGCCATTCATAAGGAACATATGGGAATCTACAACTTCCAAATGCAAGTGTTTAAACGTAAATGAACAATTTTAATTTCACACTTTACAACTCAAATTCAATAATTTACAAGGAGTATAAGAAAACTCACAATTCCCAAATACAATTATTTAGATGTAAATGAATAGGTAAAATAAGACGGTTTACAACCCAAATTTGGTGACTTACATGTGCTATTTATAACCCAAATTTGGTGATCTGCAAAGAACATAAAAGAACTCACAACTCCCATTTAAAGTTACGGGGCAGAGTTCAAGTTCAGCAATTTACAATGAAAATAAGGCAATTTATAAGAACCATAAAACCTAATTTTTTTTCCTTTTAAATTGCCTTATGTTTCTTATAAATCTCTTAATTTTTGTTGTAAACACCCTTATTTCAATTGTTTCTAAATCTTGACACTTGTATTTTTCTCTTCCGAAAACCTTAAGGTTGTAAATTCCCTTCTGTTCCTTGTAAATCACCAAATTCTGCTTATAAATTGCTAAATTTGGATTGGTCATTCACACCTAAATAGTTGCATTTTGAAAATTATAAATTTCCTTGTTACGTGTTAAGTCGACAAATTTTGGTTATAAATCGTCAAATTTGAGTTCTTATTCACTCCTAAACACTTGTACTTGAGAGTTATGAATTGGGAAAATTGCAAATAAAACCCTCTAATATATAAAATAGCAATGAGGGACCCTGGATTTGGAAAATAGCTAGAAAGGATCAGGTCCCAAATTGCAAATATGAAATCTTGGTTAAAAGACAAAAACATCCTTCTGCTTTTCATATCCTGTTCCCATATCCATCTCTCTCAATTTCTTTTGCGATCTCCATTTTCATCAGTTCCATCCTCACAAACCCACCTTCTAAAACTTTAATTACATTCACCATCTCTCTCACTAGATTCCTCTCTCTTTCTCTCTCTCACCCACAATGATGAAGACGATGAGGCTCGTTATTAATCACCTGGAAGTTGCTTTTCAATGAAAACAAAAACCCAATATCCATTCAATGCTTCTCGTAACTCTGATTATGAGCTGTGGGCAATAACTAAAGGACACGATTCATTCACTCGATCGCGAGTAATAGTACGCCACCTAATGATATTAGGAACTAGGATCCATCGTCACAAACCCACCTTCTATGGATAGCTGAGAAGTAAGAACTATTATATAAGATCAATTAATAATATTTATGTTGAATGGAAATGGTATGCCACCTATTTAGTATTTGAATGTAAATTGATTGGGAGCAACATTGTGATGAAATAAGAAGGGAGATTAGTCTTGATGTCATTTTGATTCTTATTATAACTTTGTGCCCACCGTATGGATGCTCCGGACTGAATATCAATCTTCACAACATATATATAGCAACATTGTAGAGCTATATAAATTCTCATTTCAACAGATAAATTTTAAATTGTACGAAAACCTTATCGGAACATGTCACTAGCCTTACTTAACTTGTTATTAGCCTAATTGAACTTGTCATGAATCCTATATCAGAAGTGCTTGCTGTCAAATAAATCTGTAAATTCTCATTTCAACAGAGAAATTTAAAATTGTATGAAAACCTTATCGGAACTTGTCATTAGCTTTACTTAACTTGTCATTGACCTAATTAAACTTGTTATAAATCCTATGTTAGAAGTGCTTGATGTCAAAGAAATATGCAAATTCTCATTTCAACAGAGAAATTTAAAGTTGTACAAAAACCTTATCAGAACTTGTCAGTGGCCTTACTTAACTTGTCATTGGCCTAATTAAACTTGTTATAAATCCTATGTCAGAAGTGCTTGCTGTCAAATAAATCTGTAAATTCTCATTTCAATAGAGAAATTTAAAATTGTACAAAAACCTTATCGGAACATGTCACTAGCCTTACTTAACTTGTCATTGGCCTAACTAAAATTGTCATGAATCCTATATCAGAAGTGCTTACTGCCAAAGAAATATGCAAATTCTCATTTCAACAGAAAAATTTAAAATTGTACGAAAACCTTATCGAAACTTGTCATTGGCCTTACTTAACTTGTCATTGGCCTAACTGAAATTATCATTAATCCTATATCAAAGTGTTTGCTGTCAAAGAAATATGCAAGTTCTCATTTCGACAGAGAAATTTAAAGTTGTATGAAACCCTTATCAGAACTTATCATTGGCCTAACTGAACTTGTCATCGTCTTCATCATTGTGGGTGAGGGAGAGAGAAAGAGAGGAATCTAGTGAGAGAGATGGTGAATTAGAAGGTGGGTATGTGAGGATGGAGCTAATGAAAATGGAGATCGCAAAAGAAATTGAGAGAGATGGATATGGGATGAAAAGAAGGAGGACATTTTTGTCTTTTAACCAAGATTTCATATTTACAATTTGAGACCCGGTCCTTTCTAACTATTTTTCAAATTCAGAATCCCTCATTGCTATTTTATATATTGAAGGGTCTTTATTTACAATTTTCCCTTATATATTCCCCTCCCTCATTTTTTGTAAATTACTGAATTTTAATGATAAATGGTCGAAATTAGACAATTACATTTGTTTTGTTTTATATATATATATATTTTCTTTGCATTATACAAGTAACTAAACGGATTGTCTGGCGGCCACAATTTTTTATTCTATTCAAACCCTTTCTTAACGAACTTGACAGAAAAATCTCCGAAGGTTAGAGCTCTGCTAGCCGGCCTCTAACAGCGGTTAATCTTTTTATTTCTATTTTTTCTAAAAAGGGGTATTATTATCCTTTCACCCTCAAAATTTGATTTCATTTTTGGGATTTTGTAGGAGCTGTTAGATATTAACTGCGTGCTGCTGGGGTGTAAAAAAATTCTCCCTTTTTTCACGTGAACGGTGACAAGAATTAAATGCGCATGACCTGAGCATAGGCATAACCATTTCATTGCGAAGGAATAACCTCACTAGTCATATAAAGAAATCAAGTCTAAACCAGCAAATTAAAGAAAATAGCTGCCCCACAATGATTCATTGAGTCACATGCACAGAGATTCCAACGTGCCTAATTCAGTCATACATAGGAATTGAGATAATCACGTTCCTTACTTAACAAAAAGAAGACCCTAAATGGCATAAACACGACAGAGGAATTAGATAGTCGATCACCTATACTTACGGAAGATAACCACGACCCCGATTCTAGAACCCAGCAATAAAGGCTGCATGATTTTCAAAGCATCTCCACTCTAATCCTGTCAAAAAGGAACAATAGAAAAGAAAAAAAAGATTACTGTAAGCACCAATTGCCATATTTACCTGTACTGAAAATGAAAAGAGAGTTGGTTATTGGGGGGGAAAAAAGCCAGCTCAAATGAAAAAAGAAAACGGATGTGGGGCGACAGAGAGGAGAGGGGAGAGGGAGAAAGAGAGTAACATGACAATTAAAACACAATCTACCAGGGTAGCGGCAAAGCAAACCATGTATATTGACAAAAATTTGTTAAAAATAATTTTTTTCTGTAGAAACAGAACAAAATTAGTATAAAACTCGAGTAATATTAAGAAATTTCATTCTCCTACATTTTGGCTCAATTCTCATTTGTGATCCCCTCTTCCTACCTCTTCCCTCCTATTTACATTAATATGGTATTAGAGCTAGGTTCCACTGTAACTGGAAAACGCCGACCCCCCCCCCCCTTTCACATCACTAACTCAGTCAACATAGTATGGTCAGCAGTCCGCCTTATTGTCCTCTAGTGTTCCGATCTATTTCGAGCAGCACTTTGGAAACTTGCATCCCTTTCTTAACGCTGACCTCAAACCAGGAACTCTTTAATGTTCATTTTGAACACAAGCCCTCAACAGGACATTTGAATCATGACAATCAATACGTCCACTCTTGAGAAATCATTTGCTCCTGACAAGAAGGCTCCAAAAACAGTTCCCTACTGTCTATCAAATATATACGGTCTGTTGCTCTATTCTTTAAGGCAGTAGTTCTTGTAGGAAGCTTCGTAATGGTTTTGATAAAAGCTTAAACGGTTTCACCCCATTGCTTTAAAACAATGTTTTGAAATAGAAAAGAACTTGTATTCGAAAACAGGATACCATCTCTTCAATTAACCACCCCATCTTGTTGCACTGCATAACACAAGAATACTCAAATTATACACTAGTTCAGGAAAATTTTGAGAATCCCTGGCTGAAAAAGTTTTTAACACCATTAGAACAAAATCTTTCTATTCCAAAACCAAACTGTGTTATAACCAAGTCGAATATTTGGAAAAAGTTTAAGCTCAAACCATATTTCTATTTTAACAAGTAAATCCATGTCCAAAAAGTAAAATCATCAATAAAAGAAGCAAACCAACATTCCCAAGGGAAAAAAAGAAATAGAAGGGTCTCACATATCACAATGGATTAAAGGACAGAAGTTTTTATGATGAATTGAAAAGGAAACATGTCTGTACTTATCAAGTTCGCAAACTTCGCAAAGGAAAGCGTCAACAGTTAGTCTGTCAAATGAAGATGAAGACATGGTTTCACCAGACAAAGGCGATGAAGCTACATAATGACAACTACCTTGTTCAAGGATGGCAAATCGTCCTTATCAATTACTGGACTCTCAAAGCCTTGATAGGTCAGGAGGATCTTTGAGGTAGCCTCTACTCTTGTCTACGTTACATTTATAAGCTCATTTGTTTATGCTGTATTGTAAAAAATGACCTACTTGTTGGAGATGGATATATAACATCAACTACGAAACTATAACTACAAAATAATATTCAGATATCATTTAAGTTTGAAAATTATATTTATTAATTTATCATGCTGCACTTGACCGGCAAAGCAATAAACAGCAATCTATCTTCACAGAGAAAGAGAAGGAGCAAAGAAGCAAGAGCTTGCTTGACCTACCTTAGAATATTGGTTTAGTCTGCTTAGTTGGTAAAGTTTGGGTAGACCGCACTTAAAAAAGCAAGGCAAAGGTTCTTCACTTCCCCTCGCTTAGAAAGAGCTAAATCAACCTGGTTTGCTCTTGAAGTTACTTATGACCTATCTACTGCAGGTTCAATCCCCGGTCATCTAGCTCAACATACCTCAACTGAGCTGATGGGAAGCCATGTGGAAGACAACAACGAAAGGAAGGAGAAAGAAGCGTCAACAAGGGAGTTGCCTTCAAGGAAGATTTCAGGGAGCATTTACTCAATAAGATTTAAAGGAGACTATCTTGATTAAGTTTTGTTGAATTTTCAATACCTGTTGAACAATTAAAGGCAATAAGATGTCATTCTTTTTCTTTTTGGTGAAAAATGTTGTGAAGGTAAATGTTGAATTTTTTAAAAATTTTAAAAAATTTCCTAGTAGCTTAAACAAGTCAACCCAATTAACCCACCTAGTGAAACAAGCTTTACAACAACACCTAAGGTGGGTTAAGCAAGCCCGCGTAACACAACCAATCACGAGTTTGCTCATTCAACCCAAATTTATTGACGGCTCTTAAGAGTCTAAATAACTGATGCTTCAAAGCCTAAAAGAGAACCACTCCTACTATATGTTCATTTTTAAAGACAAGTGTGCAAGTGATTGCAGTTCACTTGAAAAACAAAAAATGGGATTATGGAACCAACTTTAAGCTAGGCGTCAGTTAAATTTAGGGTAAAATGTATAAAACTTCCTCATCATTTTCAGCGCACACAAGAATCTTTCCTGAAACTTTAGGAGCTTTGTACTTAGGGTATACAATGATTTGCCACAATGGTACAGAGGAGAAGTTCTAGATAACAAGGGCTACCAAATGGTGGCAAGAGTAGGTTGAGATGTGGATAGAAATCAAGGGCTCAAACTCTCATAATGCAAACAGAGAGAAAAATCCTGAAGATGTTAAATTGCATCATTTTAGATTCATAGATTTAAGTATTAAGAAAGTGACACAAATGAGTAGCAACTGTGCAAGGCTCTGATGAGCCCACTGCAAGTGGCACATGTGGATAAAAAGAAGCAGGCTCAGGGTCCAGCTAAGGCAGAGACACTAAAGAAAGCCTCAACTAGGCCCAAGCCCAATAGCTCTAAGGAGGGTAGTGAAGAGGCAGTTATCTAGCGTTGTGAGCTCCAGCAAAGGCAGGTTTTGAGGCATTGAAACCAGGGAGAGCTACTGGCCTCTCAAACGTCAGAAAATCTTTACATTTTCGCTGTTTTTCCTACTGCATTTTACTCTCTTTCTCCACTGTGCTGAGCTGAGATTAGCTGCTGTTATCAATTTCTCCTCTTCTTTCCACCTAAAGAGTGTGTAGCTAATCATTCAACTGAAGATATAATAAAAGTTCAGTTCCATCAGGCTCATATCCCATCTTTACACGAGTTACCTTTTCTTCATATCTATCTTTGAATGCACTATAAATACATTCAATTATATGAATGCAATTTGACTTTGTGAAGGTACATGATAAATGATCTAAGCTACGCGCTAAACAATCAAAGGAAAAAAGAAAAGCAAAATAAAATAGACACTCAAAGTGCTACCTGTTCCATGGGAGAAGAATCAGCTTTTCCCGGCTCTTCCGTACCATTAGGTTCACCCTCATCTTGACTCTTGTCTATATGAAGCACTCCATCACGCCCTTCTTTGACGTTATTTGACATTACATTTTCATCCAAGCTTCTAAAATCTTCTGGAAGCTGACCTAACTTTAGCGCCTGCAGACACAAATCCCATTAAGTCCACTAAACTTATGCCTGTCACTTTTTTTTCACTTTTAAAATGTGCACACAAAAAAAAAAAAAAAATCCAAGCCCCCATATGGGAAATATGCGTTGTGAAATCTCCAGAGACAGTTTTCTATTTCATTCATGCAACCAGTACAATTTACATAGTGCTAGGTCCATAGCAACAGGTTGGCTATCCTCCCGCAAATCACGCTTGATATTAAAAGTAGAAGATACCCAATTATCAGATAGAATCAAAAAGCCTATAATCAATTAATCATAAGAGATAGGTGAAAACAAAACAGTATAAAAACTGAGTTAAAAACAATAGAAACAGAAACAAAGAGTAGATCCACTAAATGGGGTATTGGGTCCAGCCCATTCCACCACTCCCCCTCCTCCTCAAGTTGGAAAACAGGCGTCTATTGTTCTCAGCTTGCAGTTCAATACATCGGCAACATGTGTATTTGATGAGGCGTAGAAAATCTGATGAGAATGAGAGTCTAGAGAGAATGTAACCGAAGCAAAAAAGTATTTTGTATATTCTCTTGATTCAGAAAGTGAGGATACAAGGCTATTCATGGAGGAGTGGACCCTTAAGAGTAATAAATATGCTACAGCTAACAATATTCATAAAAGGAGATAACAAATGGATGGTGACAATTTTAGCGACGGGAGAAAAGATATCACCACAATCTAAGCCAGAAATATATGTATAACCTTAGACAACAACCATGCTTTCAAATGACCAATAGTTCAATCTACGAATGACACCCAGCCATAGATTTAGTGTATGCCCATTGACAACAAACTACATATTTTCCAAATGGTAGATGAAGTGCCCAAGTGCCATTAGATTGCACGGATTCCATTTCATCAATTATAGCTTGTCTCCACCAAGATGGCTTCCAAAGCAGTATATGGAATAGATATAGAGGACTAAGAAGAAACAAAGCCATGACTAGGTGATGAAAAATGACGATAACTTACAAAATTGAAAATGGGATGGGGAATACTAGTAGCACAAGTACCTTTTCGAAAAGCAATAGGGAAACCATCATTTAGAAACGTGATTGGACCCAAGGCAAGCATAGAAATCAGGCACAAATTATTAGGAACATCCGTCGCATCAACATAAGGATATGATGGAGCTGAGGCTAAAGAAGAAGTGGAATTTACAATTGTTGGTGAAAACCCCTAATGGGCCAATGGGCTGACTGCTGTAAGTTCCTTAGGGTAAATCTCTCCAGACTATTCCTAGTTAGGTCACCTAAAATTGTGGGATTTAATTCCTGATTTTCTAAGATTGTAATTCTGATTTATTGTACCATAATCCTTGGCTAGAATCTCGCTGATCTCTCTATTATCATTGAGAGCTTGTATCTATTTATACATTGTTAGTATTGGAATAAAACACAAGTTTCCAGAAGCCAAATACTCTGATGACTAAAGTTCATGGTGTCAAAGCAATAATCAAGTTCAGATTAGGGTTCAACACCAAGAGCCATAGTGCTCAGCCAAACCCATAAATCAATTCGATAGATCTTTAGCCGTGATTCAGGCTAGAGGCCACACCCAAACCCACGCCAACCCTGTCTCCATCACCATTCATCAGCTAAATGGAGAGAACTATGTGCAGTGGGCAACAAGAGTGCTGCTCTATGTGATGGGCAAAGGGAAATACGGTTACCTCAGGTTCTGTAGAAAAACCTTCTGAAAGGGATGAGAAAATGCAGCTTGGGAGGCATAAAACTCTATGGTTCAAGCATGGTTGATCAACCCTATGACCACCGAAATTAGCAACCACTTCTCATTCTTTCTAACCACGAAAGAAGTTTGGAACGTAGCCCAGGACATGTTTACTTCGCTGAAGAATAAAGCTGCCTTGCTGGAAATTGAGAGCTTCCTTCATGGCTTCAAGAAAGATAATCTCTCAGTTACACAATATTATACTAAGCTATTTGTCAAATGGCAACAGCTTGATACTATGATGTGCACGAGCGGAAGCATCCTGATGACAACTCTCTACAAAAAGATAAAAGAAGAACAAAGAGTCTTCAAATTCCTCCTTGGTCTAGATGCACAGTTCGAAGTAAAAGGGAGAATTATGAGCAGGAAGGTTCTGCCACCACTAAGTGAAGTTTTCTTTACTGTTCGACAAGAGGAAAGCAGAAAGAAACTAATTTCAAGAGACTCCACTACTAAAGTACAACCCAATGCCCTAGTGACTAAAGGAGGGACAAAAGAAGGGGCCAAGAACAAAAAAAATCGATGGTGTGACCACTGTCGGAAGAAAGGACATGCCAAAGAAGTTTGCTAAAAATAGCATGGAAAACATCCAAAGAAAGGAAAACAAGAAGGGAGAGCATATGCTGGAACTACTAGAAACAATCCTAGAACAAGCCTAAATAAGGAAGATATTGCCATGAAAGATACTAGAGAAGCATGAAACCCCAAAATACCTTCAAGTTATGCTACATACACAAGTAAATCCATTCTGGCCCTCAAAGCTAATGTTCACCCTAAAGCTCTCTAGGTTGTTAATTCAGGGGCAACTGATCACATGACTAGCAACAAGGACTTATTGACTGACCTAAGACCTTGCACCACTAATATATCTATTCAAGTTGCTGGTGAAAAACTATTAAAGTTGAAGGCTTCGGCACAGCACATATAAATGATGAATTAATCCTACAAATGTTTTTAATGCACCAAAATTAAAGTACAGTTTACTTTCTGTGAGGAACATAACAACAACAACAACAACAACAAGCCTTATCCCACTAAGTGGGGTCGGCTACATGAATCACACGACGCCATCATGCTCTGTCAACAACCCAGTCCTTAGATATGTTGTTGACTAGGAGGTCTCGTTCAATGACCTCATTAAGCGTTCTTCTTGGTCTTCCTCTGTTCCTTTTTATGAGACTCCATCTTGTCTGATCCACCCTCCTCACCGGGGCCTCCAATGGCTTTCTCTGCACATGTCCAAACCATCTTAAGCGATTTTCAACCATTTTCTCTTGGATAGGTGCCACACCGACTCTTGCTCTGATATTTTCATTTCGAATTCTATCTTTTCTTCTATGACCACACATCCATCTCAACATCCTCATTTCTGCTACCCCAACTTTGTGCTCTTGTTTTCCCTTTATTGCTCAACATTCAATACCATACAACATAGCCGGTCTTATAACAATCCGATAAAATTTTCCTTTAAGTTTCTCAGGTACCTTCTTATCGCAAATAACTCTGGTAGCTTTCCTCCACTTTAACCAGCCAGTTTGTATTCTATGAAAAACGTCTCCATCAATTTCCCATCCTCTTGTATAATGCATTCTAGGTATTTAAACTTTGATACTTGAGGAATGATTTGCTCCCCCATCTTCACCTCCAAATCCCCATTGTCTTGCCTCCCCCCAAAATCACAATGCATATATTCTGTTTTGTTCCTGCTCAAGCGGAAACCTTTCGACTCCAACGTTCTTCTCCGTAGCTCCAATCTAGTGTTGATCTCTTCTTTTGATTCCGCCATGAGAACTATATCATCCGCGAAAAGCATGGACTTAGGGATTCTTTCTTGAATAGGTTCAGTTAGAACATCTAGAACAATGTTGAACAAGTACGGACTCAAAGAGGATCCCTGATGTAGGCCAATCTGCATAAGGAAGTTCTTTGTCTCACCTCCAAGCATCCTTACACTGGTAGTTACCCCCTCATACATATCTTGTATGGCTTTGATATAAGCAACCCGTACACTTTTTTTTTCCAAAGCCTTCCACATTACTTCTCTTGGCACACGATCGTAAGCCTTTTCCAGGTCAATAAAGACCATATGTAAATCCCTTCTTTTACTTCTATATATTTCCATTAACCCTCTTAGTAAATAGATTGCTTCCGAAGTGGATCTCCCTGGCATAAATCCAAATTGGTTTTCTGAAATAGAAGTCTCCAGCCTCAACCTATATTCCATCACTTTTTCCCACAACTTCATTGTATGACTCATAAGTTTTATCCTTCTGTAGCTTGCACAGTTTTGAATGTCTCCTTTATTCTTATAAATAGGAACTAAAATGCTTCTCCTCCACTCATCCGGCATATTCTTAAAGCGTAAAATTTCATTAAAAATCTTAGTTAGCCACACCTCACCCTCATCTCCCAGACATTTCCAAACTTCAATAGGGATACCATCAGGCCCAACGGCTTTTCCATTGTCCATTTTCTTGAGAACTACCTTAATCTCTCCGATACTGATCCTGCGGTAGAAGGCCAAATTCTGATCATCTTCGTTAATTAACAAGTCCTGTAAGTCTTGAGTCGCATAATTGCTTCCCTCATTAAACAATTTGTAAAAATAAGCCTCCCATTTGTCCTTAATATCACCATCAATAACTAACACTTTACCATCTTCATCCTTTATACACTTTACTTAGTCCAAATCTCTCTTTTTCCTCTCCCTTTGCTTCGCAATCTTGTAAATATTTCTTTCTCCCGTCTTTGTTCCTAACTCCTAATAAAACCCTTCATAAGCTTTAGTATGTGCTTCGCTCACTGCTTTCTTTGTCTCTTTTTTAGCCAACTGATACTTTTCCCAGTTTTTTACACTATTGCATGTGTATGGCCTCAAAACAATCTCTTTTCTGTTTGACTTTCTCTTGCACACTCTTATCCCACCACCAAGTCTCTTTATCTCTCTGACCAGGACCTTTGGATTCTCCCAAAATTTTTTTAGCCAACTGTGAGGAACATAACTCAATCTAAATTGTGAAGCTCACTTTACCACTATTGAATGTCTACTTCAGGCTCTGGGGTTGGGAAAGACGATTAGCGTAACTAAGATCCTTGAAGGACTTTACTATTTAGAATGCTGTCAATAGAAGCAGACTCCTAACAAGAAAGATTCAGTTACTTTATCTACTGTTTCCTTCAATAAAGATGTGCTGTTGTGACACTATAAGTTAGGCCACCCTAGTTTTCATTACATGTCAAAA